ATATTGCATCCACTCTGGCAAAAAATTCCAATCATTTTAATAGAAATGAAATTTACTTGATTTGATTTGCTTTATTATTATTATTATTATTATTAAATTTTTTTTAGGGGGGATCAGGAGATCTGATCTATATTTTGGAGAGTCTTAGGACAGCCTACACTATGTATGCTTCTGTTTTTCAAGGCAACTGGGCAAGTCTTGGGATATCAAGACACTAAACATATTATAATTTTGCATCTAATGACTACCAAATTTACTTTGGAGGGCTGTTTATATCTGATTTTGTGTTTGTCTTTTATTAGAAAATGTCAGAAAAATGCTTCAAAAAGTGCATTTACAAACCAGGAACAAAGCTTGATAACTCTGAACAAGTAAGGGAAACTAAATGTTGAGCATTACGTAACTGAAATAATGATCCTTCGTGATCCAACTGCATTAACCCTTAGGTGTATTATTTATAGCCATAAATTATCATCATTTAGGACTTAATGTTTATCATATTATTTTTACTCATAGTATCATAACTAATACCATATTTTCTTCTTTTACTTCTTCTTCTTGTTATTACTATTATTATCATTATATTATATTTACCATATTACAGACATTCCCTCTCTACAAGGCTTATTATTATTAATAAGGTCTGATCTTTTTCATGTGGAAATGAGTCAATCATTTTTCCCATATATTGCCTTATTCAATTTTTTAAGTTCAAGATTTGTGAGAAAATTGTTGATTGTAATTTTTTAAATATGTAATTGTGCCAAAAGACCTTTTTTTGGCAAGAGTACATAGGATTTGGATTTTGATAAATTAATTTTGATATTATTTAAAAAATAGTATGAATATGATTATCACCATCATCATTATTTTATTATTATTATTATTATTATTATTATTATAATTATTATCATCATGGTTAATATTACAGAGTGAGTAGCATAAAAAGGCTGCAATACTTACTCCACATTTGGCACTATTTGTGCTGGTGCCATTTACAAATTTACCATACACTGAATCTTAAATGCTTCCTAAACTGTATGTCTTAACTATTAGTAGTGGTTCCAAAACTTTAGATAAAACACTAATGAAGGGAAGCAAGAAAGCAAAATCCCATTATTACTTTATATTGCAACCAGGAAGCAAGTGAAAGTTAAATGGATCTCTGTTTTTACCTTTCAGAAATGTATATCTTCATGTATGGATCGTTACATGGATGCTTGGAATATTGTGTCGAAAACCTACCAGGATAGATTAAGGAAGGAACATTCCCTTGCAGGAAATTTTAATTAAAAAAAAAACTTTCCTGGCCTTCTTTACTTGTGCTGATTTACCTTCAATTGTTAGTTTTCACCAAACTCATGAGATAAAATATTGCATCAACTAAGGCTTTATTCATATTCAAATTTAATTAGTCATCATTTAACTTTTTTTTTGAAGCATTGCTTACTCAGACTTTGGAAAAACTGAAGACAAATTTTAAGGGGGAGATAGTTAATTTTGGTGTTGCTAGTTTATACACAAATTTATAAATTGTTATACAAGCTAAAACCATGTTGGAATCAAACCAACAGTATTACAAGAGATGGTGAAAATCCCAAACTGTGTCCTCCCTCTCTCTCCCTAGGATGTATACTGCCACTTTAAAAATACATCAGACTTCATCCGGGCTTAATAGGCCATCGAGTATAGATAATGCTTATTTAAAGTGCCACAGGTGTTTACCTCAAAGTAGTTGAGCAAAAATTTTTCTCCATTCAGCCTTACATGAAGCTTGCAAAGACAACACCCATTTCTTATAGTGTTAGCCTCCTGTAAGATTTTTGGTCTTGTCTCAGAATCCTAGACCAAGTGAAGAGCTAACAGAATGTCTGTATGAAAAACTATGTCATTCTGCCAAGATGTCAGATTCTGTTCTGCAAACTTGATTGAAATTTTTCAAGGATCACTACTAACACACACTGTGTCAATGTTTCAGTAACCATAACTCTCTTCAAGTTCTGTGTTCCTAAGATACTTGCATTAGCCAGCTGGGATGGCACAAATTTTGATGAGATTAAGATGTGTTAATGATGTTTATCTTGTAGTAATTTACAATGAAAACCAGTAACATTGAAATGTTCCTTCACCAAGCTTGAACCTTCAAGGGTTTTAAACTAAGGTTTTTTGCATAAGAGGAGCTAATTATTTAGGTAACTAATGAATTTCAAATGTATGGTAAAAGTGTCAATTAAAGAGGAGATCAACGATCATACGTAATTTAACCTGAATTATCATCATCTGGGCAATAATTGATAGAAATCTTTTATTTTTTTGAAAATTTTCACTTCAAACTAGCAGCACAGTATCAGTGCACTGCACTGAACAAAAGCAGAGAGATGTGCACGCAAATGGTGAACTGACTTAGAGAAGAGTATGTTGAAATACACAAGATATTATGCAATGTGATGTAGCAAATGCAATCTTCAGTAATGGATATATGTGCATGTATCTCGTCTTACTCAGAACCAGCAAAGGGAGACATTTATACCTGATGCTAACTCTTTTTATTCGAGCCTTTGCTGAGGTCATGATTCCTGATGCTGGTGTATATATATCTTAAAGAATAATTTTAAATGATTTCTAAAAAATCTAAAAATTGTATGGAGTTTAACATCAAGAAATTTAAGCCAATGCGAATCTGTAAAAAAGGGTCTCCCTTTCTCTCTGACCAATTAACACGTAAGTATTCATCAAACAACCGAATAGTCGCGAGAGAGCCCGGGCCGAAGAAATCGAAGCTAAGTTTTTCTATCTCCCTAGCCTGCTTTGACCAATTTCCTTTCTTTTTTTCCGATTAATTTTTGGATTTCCTTTACTGCACTGTGAATTCGGAATGACCTTTCCCGCCAATTTGTGAGGAACTCTTTGTCACGAGACTTCCTAGGGAATTCGATTATGCGTTTCATCTTTCATACTGAGAAAAAGTTTACCTCCTTCTAACTTGCATTGGCTAGCTTGAAACGGATCATGCATAAGAAACGTCAAAGGAAGAAAAGAGGAAAAAAATACATAAAATGGTTAAAGTAAAACAAAACCGTTTCTATTTCGAGGAAAAAGAGAAGATAAAAAGACTTATCTTCGCCTGAACTACGATTATTTATCAGTCTCCGCTTTTATATCTAGGACCAAACATTTTGTCCAAAATGTCGGTTAAAAACTAGAATTTTTAACTGTTTGCAAAACAAAACAACCTCGTGCGATTTAATATGCCCGGGTTGGTTTGACTTTGCACTGCTTTATCACTTTATCATTCTAAACGACCACAAAACAAAGAAAAAGTTAAAAATTAAGAAAAAGAACCTTTGAAGAATAACATAAAAAGTTATTTTTTTACCGTAAAAGATACTCCAATATAGATAGAGAGAAAATAGAGAGAAAATACCGGTATTATTGTGTGATCTTTGCCAGACGATGTGGATAGTTATTGTAGAAGTATAGGTAGTTGTACTTACTGTAGACAGTGTAGATAGTTGTACCTATTTTAGACAGTGTAGATAGTCGTACTTACTGTAGACAGTGTAGATAGTTGTACCTATTTTAGAAAGTGTAGATAGTCGTACTTACTGTAGACAGTGTAGATAGTTGTACCTATTTTAGACAGTGTAGATAGTCGTACCTACTGAAGACAGTGTAGATAGTTGTACCTACTTCAGACAGTGTAGATAGTTGTACCTACTGTAGACAGTGTAGACAGCTGCACTTACTGTAGACAGTGTGGATAGTTGTACCTACTGTAGACAGTGTAGATAGTTGTACCTACTGTAGACAGTGTAGACAGCTGTACTTACTGTAGACACTGTGGATAGTTGTACTTACTGTAGACAGTGTGGATAGTTGTACCTACTGTAGACAGTGTAGATAGTTGTACCTACCACGGTAGACAGTATAGATAGTTGTACCTACTTTAGACAGTGTAGATAGTTGTACCTACTATAGACAGTGTAGATAGTTGTACCTACTGTAGACAGTGTAGATAGTTGTACTTACAGCAACCAGTGCAGATAGTTGTACCTACTGTAGACAGTGTAGATAGTTGTACTTACAGCAACCAGTGCAGATAGTTGTACCTACTGTGGACAGCGTAGATAGTTGTACCTACTGTAGACAGTGTAGATAGTTGTACTTACAGCAACTAGTGTAGATAGTTGTACCTCTGTAGACAGCGTAGATGGATGTACCTAATGTACTAGTTAACACAGTGATATGTCTTACATAACAGTTCCACAAATTGACACAACAATATGGCCTACATTAATAAATTTTACAAAATGAAATATGTTGTTCTACCATGCAGTATTATACCTCGGACAGAATCATACAAGGGTGTCTACTTCGTAACGCTACATTTTGTATCGTGACATTGAAGAAGGGGGAGTGTCCGTAGGAGTGAACAAAATTGGCCAATCACGAAACACATAAACACGTGGCTGTTAGGTATACCCACAGTTCCACGCATTTGACTCCGAAAACAAAATGGCGGAACTAAAGGTATTTAACCAACTCTTAAACGATATTCATAATTATTAGTCGAAAAAAGTACTAATGATGTTTGTTATTCTGCTAAGTACATGTCAGGTTTTGGCAATGAGTTTGCCTCCGAAGCCCTTCCGGATGCGCTTCCAAAAGGACAGGCAAGTACCTAACTGACCTCAGTTCTCCGTCGATGACCATGCGCTAATGTGCAATCATCATCAGTTGAATTTATTTTACAGTCACTTTCTGGTTATTTTGCGAAGAAAAATAATCATTTTGGGTGACGAGTTCTTAGAGAGGTAACAAAGCCCTTCAGTGAAGGACAGGTAGAGGTTCTCGTCGCAATTTCGGAAACACCTGAATAGTTCTAACAGAGTTCAGTGCGTCCGTTTATCTCATGGCCAAATACAATAGCTGTTATATAAGAATAAAACCCTTCTTTTCTTCTTCATCAAAGCTTCAGTCGTGAAGGTTGTCTTAATTTTTTTTTCGTCAAAGAACTGCATGTATATAATAATCATGGGTTTAAAAGGAAGTCTGGCCTCGTATTGTTTAGAAGAGTGAAAAATTATCACGCTTAGACACAGGAATGTGTTGATTATTAAAGCTGGTCCAGGGAAAAATTGTTCTTGGAAGTAATGGCTGGATACGGAATCGTATGATCTTTAATTTATTCGATCTATGAAAAAAATAATACATGATTCATTAGAAATCTAATCTTGAAATTGCATGCGAGAAAAATGAAATTACAATTCTTAAAATCCAACTGGTCACAAAACAAATTACTTACTTCTGTGGCACTATCTAATTAAAACTATTCCAATATTTATATAACACAGGTCAGCTAAACGGGTCAGCAGATCAAGGTGAAAAACACTAGTTTCAGAACACTTTTATGAGTGTCATTCCTTTTAACTGAAGATCAACTTACATATCGATTAGGCCATCAATATGCCTATCATGTGGTTAATTATTAAATAAAATGTAAATAAATAAATAAAATAAATAAAAGCTATTTTGAATAAGGAAACCTATTTGCATGAAATAGTAAAACCATGACCTTGATTTGCTGTCTATTTTTAGAATGCTCCTCAAAAATGCCCGTATGGTTTATATGCCGAGCAACTCTCTGGTACGGCTTTCACTGCCACAAGAGAATATAACTGCAGAAGGTACATCATGCATCAAATAATTCTCTATTCAGACAATGAAATAATTCATTCTTCTCTTGATGGTATATATATATACAATGATATTTGGTTAAAATTAATGTAATGCTGATATTATGGGGATCATTCAGTATTAGATTTGAATTAAAGTCTCTTGTAAGCTAAATTATATTCTATTGAATTAGTGTAAGAATTTGGAAATATTTCTGTGTCACTCCAGTCTGCCAGTATTCTCAAAGAAACAGAAGGCAGTAAGACTTAAGATCAAGAACACTTTTTTACACAGCTACTGTAGCAGCATCTACAATAGCAAGCAAACTTTGTGTTTTGGTACATTTACATGTCATTATCTCCAGCATGAGTCATTCTTAATACCAACTTTTAAACAATCTTGAAAATATTCACAAGCATTGGCAGTTTCTACGTTTGACATTGATTTCAGATTCTTTTTAATCATTTCAGCTGGTTATACCGCATCAGACCATCAGCTGTCCATATGCCTTTTGAAAAGACAACTCAAGGAGACCTGACACATTTCTGGGATGAGTGTGACCCCAATCCAAATCAGGTTGGTATTCAGATTTAATTTTATTTATGGGCATGCTGAGTTTGGCAAATTGTTACTGGCTAAACACATATTGGTTTCAAGAAAATTAGCTAAAAAGAAACATTTTTTGAAGATTATTTTTAATTGGTCAAATTGCTCAGCCTGATCAAGCATCAAGTAGCAAAACTGCCAGTTTTATTTGGACAATGAACTAATATCAGTAAATTTTATTTTACACCTGCTCTACTCATAGATTATCCCATTTTCCTTACCATGAAGTCTACTTCCTCTGTGGATGGGACACTAATTCCTTGCTAGGTTAACCCACTCAACATTTCCCTGCCCTGTGGATGGGACACCTGTCCATATCAAGGTTAATCCACCAAGCATTTCATCAGTCTTCCCTGAAAAATTGTTGGTACCCATTCATACCCCTGGGTGGTGTGAGCCACTGTTTGAGTTCAGTGTTTTGTGTGAAAACATAACACATTGACCTAACCAGGTCATGAACCTAGGCCTCTCCTCCTGGAGTTCAGCCTATTTACCATTTAAGAGTATAATGAACAACTTGAAACAATCTGCAAAACTGCAACTGACAAAACTTTTTATACTCTGGTCTTTCTCTTTGCCTCAGTTGCGATGGAAACCATTTGATATCCCTCCTGAAGGAAGCAACATTGACTTCACCCAAGTATGTGAATTATGGCATTTATTATCATTTATTCATCAATTAATGCACAATGAATTGAGGGCAGACTGTATATAAGACTACGCTGGAAAAAGAGCAAAGTGATAAAGTGGCCATTATAAATTAATGTACATGGCAAAAAAGCAAGAAGGAAAACAAAAACTAGTTTTGAGTTAAAATCTAAGAACACTTTTGAACTCTTGAGAGTGAAAGTACTATTTGAAGAAAAAAAAAACATATATAAGGCAGTGTATTTTCGTAAAATATTAGAAGCAAATATTTTGTTTGCAATAATGGAAACTGGACATTTCCCTGTAGCTTTTCAATGTTTGTTATTGGTGATTGATGAAATTAAATGTGATTCAGATTAATGTGATGCACAAGTTATTGTTCAGAAGTCTGTTAGTATTTCCTTTTACAATCATGTATCTTTGAATTGTTTTTGCAACATCTACTAGTGACCAGTAATATATTGATAGTGGTCTTAAGGTGATTCCTCAGCAAAAAAGTTGTTGAATAATTTTTCGTTGAACTTTCCATGAAAGTTCCCTGTTAATGTCTGTTTTAAAAGCTACAAGAAAAAAGGTAGGTCACCAAGATTGCTGCCTGTTCTGATACCAATGTAATGCATCATTTCATCATTTTACAGTACATTTTGTGGTAGCTGCAAGCAAGGGGGTTTTTGAGTAAAACTTGAAAAAATAGTTGATCGATAAAAAGTCTTGAGTGTATGGAATAATGTAATGTATAAGTTAAATGACATGGAAAGGGCTTCATGTTTGCTTTTAGTTGTATCTTTTTGCCCTCTGATAATTTTTTTTACATTTCTCCAATTCAAATGGGGACAATTTGACTACACCCGAGTTGTTTGCTACTAAAAAATATAGGTCACCTTGCTCCTTCAAGAGGAAAGACCAATAAGTACCTGTTTACTTTGTCTATTGATGGAGAAACAATACCATGATTGTTCTTGAATTATGCACGTGCTCATTTGCCTGATTATGTGATTCTTATTCATAGCACGGAATGTGCTCCACACTACTGAGGAATCACTTTTAACTATTGGGAGGAGACTTGGGAGAAACTATGTTGGATTGAGTTTTAATATGCATTGTTCTGGAAATACACTGCCTTGTGTACATTAATTAATTTCCACTTTTCTCTAACAGCCAAGGAGTACTTTTAAACACTCATGGACTTTTTTTTGAAGGGGAAAAATTCTTTAATTCCAAGTATAAAGATTTTAGCATCTTTCTCTAACCGGAAATTGTGATTTCTTTTAATTCTTAGGGTTTACACACAGTCTGTGGGGCTGGGGATCCTTGCACAAGGCATGGTGTTGCAATCCATGTCTACAGTTGTGATATCTCTATGAAAGACAAGTAAGAAACACAGAATGCTTTTTGATATGTTTTTATTTGATTGTCAGTAATTATTGATTTTTTTAAGCTTTGTTTTTTAACTCTGAACTCTATGTCTTTCAAAGGCACCATTTGGTGACCCAAAATGGTAAAATGTATGCCACAAACAAAATTTTGGTTGCCAGGGAAAAAAGCCACTTTCTGCTAAATTACTTGACTAACCCCTGACTACATGGCTTGTCTTTGGAGTAAGCAGTTTACATTCATTTGTGGAGATCCATACAACATTTTAAGGCTTAATACTTGCCCAACTAAGGAGAAAGAGGCAAAGTTTTTGTAGAAAAATATTTTATGAGGATGTTTATCTCAACTTGCTTCATGAACCCCAAACACAGTGACTTGGGCCGCTAATTCAGTCAGAATTCCAAGCGTATCTCAGTTGTGACTGTGATCTAATCCTGTGATCCCTAAGGGTGTCAAGTATCTAATTTCTCCTTACAATATCATCCCTGAATCACAAATTTAGGAACTCACAAGAATAAAGGAAATGATCATCCACCAAAAAAGCTCTAAAGAAACTCCTTGTCAGCACCTTAGGAAATGTACAGAGAACAGTATGGAGAATATGCATACTGATGTTAGGGTGTAAAGGGTTGAAGAAGTCTATCATAAATAATTTTTCATTAATTTATTTCAGGTGTTTCTATAACTCTGATGGGGATTTCCTTATAGGTGAATATTTCTTTCTCTATTTGGATAGCTCTTGCTGATGCAGATAGTGCGTTTCTGAAAGTCATATCCTTCTGATGCTCAATTATTTTTATGTATCTTATCTAAACCCATAAGATCCCATCATCCCATCTACCCCTACTTACATCTACAACACATATGTGTATCATATCATGTCATACTACATCATCTTATCCCTGTCCATCTCATCCAAACCCATCCTGTCCAATCTCCCTCTTCTCATTCCATATTACAGCTGCCTGTTCCATTCCATCTGCAAATCCATCTCATGCATTTCATCTAGTCCCATTTTAGTTGCATTTTGTTAAAAGCTTTGCATTGCTATAATAATTGCAAGATAGCCCTGTAGATCCATTCAACCATTTGACTGTATATTTTAAATGAATGAGATCACTTTTATCTTTTGGTACCCCTCAGTTTACCGTATCATTTATCTCAATACTGACTGTCTGATTGCTCTCAATGGTTACTGTTCAGTTCACATCTCTATTTATTGCAGTTCCCCAAAAGGGCACTTTAATGATCACTACAGAATTTGGCAAAATGGAAGTGAAACCAAATGAAATTTGTATCATCCAGGTAACTACACTTTCACCCTCTTCCATTCTACTCTTTTTTTTCACTCTGTGGGATTCAGCCCCTTCAGTCCTGGGAGCTGTGATTGTTGTCAGTTTATACAAATGAATTATAACAAATTAATATATTGATTATAAATCAGTGATGTGAAAATTGCTTGTTAACAGAAGAAATTGTCACCCAAGTTACATTATTTTGATACAGCACTAATTGAAATTGACAAGCACTAAGCCTACAATAAAGTGTACTGTTTTTGTAAATGGGAATCCAATAGCTTTCAGACTGCTGCAGTAAGAGATGTGCTTTGTTTTTTTCAAGTTTCTGTACTTAAACTCAATTAATAGGTTGCGTCTTTTATGTTTTTAGGATTGTTATTGAATCTTTAATTTGAAGCACAACAAATTACTGAATAACATGTGTTAGAATAATTATGATCTGTCATTTATTTTACAGCAAGGAATAAGATATTCAGTGGAGATCAGTGAACCCTCAAGGGGATATATTCTTGAGGTGTTCGATGCCCACTTTGTGTTGCCAAATTTGGGACCAATAGGTAATGTAATTACGCAGCTTTATTAACAGTTATTTACCAATGTGGAGGTGAATAGTGGTGGGTATTTACCAGGCTGCAAGGCAGCAAGGTAAATATTCACCACTTTCACCAACACAGATACCAAAAACTTAGTTTATTTACTTCATTTAATTTCTGGTAGTGTGATGATGCCATAGAGTTAATGGACTTAACCTTTAACTACCAAGAGTGACAAAGACAGGATTTCTTCTTACGGTACATTATCAAGCAGACAAGTGACAATAATAAAGAAAAATATCAGTTAGGAGATTATTATTATTTGATCCAATACAAAATTCTCCAAACTAACATCATAAGGATTGTGCAGCAAATAGTAAGGAGAATAACTTATGAGATCTTGAGAGTGAAATGGTTAACAGCATGTTTTACTGATGGAATAATAACTGATATTTATTCCACCTTTGCAAAGATAAAATAAGTGGTAAATTTAATATTTCCTAACAATCATAAGTAGTGTAGTTATTCTGACTAAATTATTGTCTGCTTTTCAGGTGCAAATGGACTGGCAAACCCTCGGGACTTCTTGACACCAGTAGCATGGTATGAAGACAGGGATGTGGAGTCTGGTTTCTCTGTGATCAGCAAGTACCAAGGAAAGCTATTTAAAGCTGTTCAGGTATGAGCTCTCTGTATCTAAAATAGCCAATTGTTAAGTTTCCTGTAATACTGAAGTTTCATTTAAATTGTGCTTGTGAGGAGGGAAATATAACTATTTATGGGATAAAGAGGAGAGTAAAACAAATTTAAGCTTAGTTTTGAAATGAAGTAGGTTGTATTTAATCAGTTGTCACTGCAGGGGACATTGTCACTGGATGAAACTTGAACCAAAGAAATACTGCAAAATTTACTATCCTTATCATTTTATTATCCTGCAATGGACCAGAGAGATCACATAAAAGCCAGAAAACATAAAAAACAACTCATTTTCTAAGGGTCATTTATCACCACTGTTCACTGTGACTAAGGGCTAATGCTTGAAACATCAGCTTTAAAAACTCTGTACAGTGGCCAATTTACATTTAGTTATCGAGTCAGTTAAGGAAACCAAATTACCTTAAAAAATGTGCTGACAATTGAACTAGGTCTCTATCTTTCCAAAGTTCCTCAGTTATACCTCTTTAGTGTCTTACATTAATTTATTACTGTCAGTCTCATAGTCATCTTTCAGAGAATGATTAAAATTAAAGAAAGACAGAGTACTAGTACCCTGTGACAAGTTATGTGCTACCAGAAGAATTTGTGGAGTAAGAATAACATAACATATATGAGATAATTTGCGAAATCTTGTTTCCTAGATTTTAATTGTTTGTGAAATTGTTTCAGGATCACTCTGCATTTGATGTTGTTGCTTGGCATGGCAATTATGCTCCATACAAATATGACCTCAACTGTTTTAACGTTGTCAACACAGTCTCCTTCGACCACATTGTAAGTATAATCTCAATTTTGCATGAAATGTCACTCACCATCTCAGCACTTACACCATGTGTAGTACTCTTAAATTTGTTTTATATGCTGGAATTTATTATCCAATTTACTTTTGTTTCCAGGATCCTTCTGTATTCACTGTTCTCACTTGTCCCAGTTTAAGACAAGGAACTGCAATCGCAGACTTCGTGATATTTCCACCAAGGTGGAGTGTTGCTGAAAACACATTCAGACCTCCTTACTATCACCGTAAGTGCGATTTTACTGTGCTGGGTCTCTCAAAGGTGTCACATTGTAATATTTATTTAACCCTCTAACTCCTGAGAGCTATTATATATTATAAGAGTGAAATTAGACGCTAATTCTAACTCACTGAGAGTGATTAGCGTCTAATTTCTCCCAACAATATCACCCCTGAATCAAACATTAAGGTTTTGAGGATAAATGAAATGATCACCAACTAATAGAAACTCTTGATTGGTAAACTGATTCTCCTTGTCAGCACCTTAACCGAGAATTTGAAAACTATAACAAGTTTCAGTAGAAAGCGCGAGTGTTAATTCGCAAAAATGCTTTTACATGGCAGGATTTAACAATAAACTTATTAAGTAATTGGGCTTTCAGGGGAGGGGAGATAGGGCACAAAAATATTTGAATCATCGATGGCGTTTATTGCTATCAGAGAAAATGTTCAGAAAGCAGAAACTCTTTAACGCATTTACGTTATTATCAATGTTAACTGTTGTATTTTATTCCTTACCCAGGCAACTGCATGAGTGAGTTTATGGGCCTGATATTTGGTAAATATGAAGCTAAGGTACGTCAGGGATTTCAATCTTTGTTTGACAGCAGCAAGCTTTCTTGGGTTCCTTGTAAAAATTTAGAGAACCGTATTTGGAACAAAAATGGTTCTAACTCTGAAGGTGCTGGTTGTTTCAGTTCTCTTTTGGAGTGTTGAAATGAAAGGGTTTAAGAGAGAGACAATTACAAGAACCTCCTTCACCCTCTCACTAAAAAACTGGCTAAGTCAAAGGCTGCCAAATCAGAACCTTTACCTTTAAAAAAACTAGGAAGATTAGCAGTTGGTTGTTATTTAGGAGGTCTGTAGATTGATATTTTGTATAGTGTAGTTTAGGTAGGTTCGCGCTAGTTATATTAGCATAAGTAACGAAGTCATTTTTATCTTAATTTTTTATTTTTTATCCTTATATTTTTTGTTCTTAAACAGGACCCCTTTGATAACAGTAATCTTGCACTGTAGGGCTATCCTGTATAAATATTCGTTTTATTATTATAACTTCAAAAGAATCGTTGCCATTCATATTTAGAGCCGTTTTTCCATTGAGTAGCCAAACTGAAATCAAAAGTCATCTCTCATCAAAGAGCTGAAGAGAATTACTGTAGACTCATGTGAGCGGCAAGGAATCAAATCGCAATTGGCTTGCGTTTGACGTCATCCTGATTAGCTTTAGAATGTCTTTACAGTGGCTATTTTACATTATCAACTCGGTTGAAAAAACCAAGTTACCTGACGCAGCACCACAGTTTCTTTAGAGACTTACTCCCTTAATTTTTCACTTTCCAAGGGCAATCAAAGAGCGAAGTTGAGCAAAACCAATGTTGTGCCAAATTACTCAAGACATTAAGATGAAAATTACTCTTCGTCTATCTTACCCAAGTTAGAAAAGACTGAATTACAGAATACAAGGAGAATGAAATGAGTTCGTATGTTTCACAAAAGATACACAGGGTAAGGTTGTTCGCAGGTTGACAAATACAATAACCATACAGACAATCTTATGCTCTTCCATTTCAGGAAGAAGGATTTGCCCCAGGGGGTGCTAGTCTGCATAGTATGATGACCCCCCATGGACCTGATAGAGATTGTTTTGAGAAGGCGACTGAAGCAGACTTGAAACCTCAACGAGTCGCAGATGGTACCATGGTGTGTACACTAGATATGATAACGACTTTTCACTGCACTAATGGACGTTAATCAATGCACTGATAAGTTCTCTCACGAATGCAAACATTACCTAAAAACCTTCTTTAAGTTAAGTAATAAGTGTCAAAGCATTTGAAAATACGAGTAAGTGTCATAGTCAGGAGAGGGATTGACTCTTTAAGTTAAGAAAGACTCTTTAAGTCAAGAATGACTAATGACTTGATTGCTAGCAAGGGCGCTAGTGATGGTAAAGCCACCACCTTCCCCGTTTCCCTTCTCGGGTAAGGGGGTGGTTGTGAAGTACTGAACTGTAGCTGAAAGTAGCTAAGTTCTCAGTTTCTTTTTTGTTGTTTGTTTTTTTGGTTTTTTTTTATGTTTTGTTTTGTTTCTTTCTTTTTTTTTTGTCGTACAAATTACACTCAAGGCTAAAAGCAGTAAAGCAAGTACGACTGCCAACTAACACAACACAACTCAGTGAACCAATCAAAACTCTTATCAGGGCAACTAACGTCCATGAAGCGCAAGGAAAATGCGTGCAATAGGGCTTGTCTTGATTAAGGTTTTGCATTCGATTGGTTGAATAGATGGTTGCGAACGCCAATCAGATTTCGTCACCCAACTCACCTTCTTATTTCTCTTGCCAGGCGTTCATGTTTGAAAGTAGCATGAGCATGGCGCTCACTAAATGGGGAAATGAAACTTGTCAGAAGGTGGATCATGATTATTACAAAGTGTGGCAGCCATTACAAAAACACTTCGATCCCAACTGGAAGCCAAGTGATGACAGCAAAAAACACTGATGGACAACAAGTTGTCTTAATGTTGCACCGCGTTCTGACTGACTCATTTATGCACATACATTTAGACCTAGAGAATATTAACTGTCGATATTCTCTTGATTTAGACTATGCATTCACATTGGAAGTAAAATGGCGATAAGAAATTATTAGCAAAGATGATAATTTCTCTCAGAGTGGTATCGGTTCCTGGCCGACCCATTTTTACATAACCATAGACTCGATACATTCACAGTGTCTTACTTTTGCACATGGACAAGGGAACAGACTGACGAGGTATAAATCGGGGTAAAGAAAACTGAACGAATAGCTATACAGATAGAACTGTAGTCTTAAACTTAAAAAATTTAGACTTTAAAAAATATATTTATATTATCATAATCAGTAGTTAATATCATTTCACCGTGACAAATGTACGGGCGACTTTTTCAATTTTTTAAACCTTACGATCCCTTTCGACGGAGCTAGAGTAATAAGCGTGTCACAAATATCACGGAGTTTCCTTAGGTTGGGAATTTAATCTGGTCCACCAAACTAGAATAAGATATGGGTAGACTATAGTAATTTTATAGTACTCTTGGGGTCGTAACAGCCACTTTGTCACTTTTGCGCGAAAGTACCCTCCTCCCCCCCCACCCTGTGACACTGCCTTGCAGACTTTCAAGATGAAGACTTTCCGATGGAAAGGGAAACGCTGTGAAAAGTGGAATGGACACCTGTAGCCAAAAAAGCAGGTTTAATGGTTGAGGTAGTTTAATCTGCCGATTGCTGGTGTGATCTTAGGAGTATTAAAACTGTTAATCAAAATTATTGTGTATTGTTACATCCCATCTCTCCATGGAACATCGAGAATCAGAAGGGTCTCATCTACATTCCCCTTAATTTTGAAGTTTTGCATTAAATACCGTTTTGTTGCTACATATTTCGCTACATTAGGTAAAGGTGATAAGGGTTTGAATCGTAGATTGCGACTTACAAAATTACTTTCGACTTAAAGGAGACCATGAGATAAAAGCTTGATAAGAAGTAAAAACACCAAAATGGGAAAAATAAATTTTAAAAAAATGACCTATTGTGCATTGTTCAGGTGGCGAATATTGGCACAGATTGCAGTTAACGAACTGAAAAACTTCGGCGAAATTTTTCCTCGTGCGCAAACCATGACGTAGCTCTTTAAATTTATCTTCAACTTAAATAGAATTTCAAGTGTTTTTTCAAAACAGTTCATCTAGGAAATAATTAACTACGTTCACGTTTTTCAAGGCAATCTTGGTAATCACGTCGAATTTTCTCCCTCGTGTATCTCAAAATAAAGGTTGGAAAACATCACTGCGAGTTTTACAATCACAGCACAAACCAGGATGAACTTGAAGGCCCTTCACCATTTTGGCACACAGTCTGGGCCGGGTTTAATGTTGAGTGATTAAGTGCTACATATACATTTGGGGGGGCTATCGTGTCTTTTAATGATGATATGGCCCTCGATCATTAAAACCGTAATCAACAACTATACAGTTGGAACGAGTGTTGCAATATTTTGACATAATAGGGCCTTGCATCATTAACTCAGTACAGTTATACAGTTGAACGAATATTGTGGTAACATTTATTGGCTATTTTAACTTCAGAACAATAGAAGAAAAGAATTAGAAATATTGATTGTTGCGAGACCTATTTTCCGAGACGTAAATTTGGAAAGTGATGTATGAATGTAGGTATGTAGGTAACGTGAATTCTTGTCGGAATCCCGCCGATTTAGAGTTTTAAGAGAAAACGAGGCACCAACTTACTCCTCAAAGGCAGCTAAAAATTGCGCATGATGGTGAGCTGTTTCCTCTGGACTTATTTGAGGGTAAACTCATCATTCGTATGTAAAACTGACCAGTTTCTGACTCAGCGATGACGCAGTTGTGCGACGTGGCTCTGGGCGGAATAAGGGCGGACCTACTCACGTGAGAGCACTGTGTTTATGAACAAGAAGTACGGACGCTAGTCATTACATACTGGGTCGCTGAGAGAAGAAAAGCGTTATTTAAAATGTTGATCAACAGATTGGCCGCAATTGCAATAACGTGGTAGATGAATATTCAAGAATCAGAACTTGCAGCTTGAACGGCAATTTTGGTATGGTAGTCATATGTAAATCTAAATCAAACAGAAATCTTAAATTGTTTCTCCTTTTTGGGAAGCGATTCGAGAGAGTTACAAGTGTTAGAAACAAGTCAAAGAACCCAGAGACGATGGATTCAACGAAAAACATCGGCCGAATTCCATGCTTTTAGGCGAGTCTGGGCATTTTTAAACCAGCTCTAATCGGCTTAAATCTTTCATTCGGTCAATCTAGTGGGCCGTAGCTCACTTCTGGCCTGATAAATTAAAAAGTTTGTTTTAATTTGTAATTCAACCCCTCTATTTGAACGTGGAGATGTAATAAATATCCTACTATAAATCCCGTTTTCTCGGTCCGCGCTGTCATTTATGGAACCTCGGTTTTCAGGCCGCTCGGATTTACTACCCACGCGCTTTACTATTGAGCCTTAAATCTATGCGGAAAAACTCCGATTCCTTAAATTACAGTACGGACCGAGAACCGAGATTAGTGAGAGACGTTTCTTTTTTTAAGGTATGATATATATGACAAAGTATGACTTTAACACGTTACATCCGGTACTTAATATTTCTGTTGGCCTTATGGCGATATGACGAGGGAGAAAATCATGGTTTAAAGGTCACCTACGTCAGGGAACCGTAAAAACCGAAAATTGCACTGAGCTAGTTCCAGTCTTAGCGATTGAAAATAAGATTAGTATCGGATATTGAATTGCTTTTGCATTCATCTGATACGAGCAAGGAAAACCCTTCTTTAATCACCGTCTTTTATTCTTCGATTTTCAGAGTTGTTGTTTTTGCAATTTTGTCTTTTTGTTTGGGTTCATTTTTCCGTTTTTGAAGATCAGGTGACTTAACGTGATTAGGTTAAAAACAGGAAGCTCAGAAAGAGGTCATTATTGAGTCACTTGAGAGTGAGAAAATCGTTAAACATAAAGCGAGAGCTAACCTGATTATTTACAATGAAACTGGAGCGATTCACAGTTTTTTTTTATTCACAGTCACTTTCATCTAAAAAACATCTTTACATCAATTTCTCTTTCATTTGAAACTTCCACTAAGATAAAGCGACTTTTCTGCTGTAAAAACTGTCTGAAAAAAATCTCTAGTTTTGCAGTTACGAAGTGTGTGAAACGGTTGTAAGAGTTATTTTAGTTCCATAGAATCAAAGTTAACGGCCAGCAGGACATGGGATTCGCTTCACGATGGCCGCCCGGCCGTCGCCAAGTCAGTCTCTGGCGAGGTATCAAACACGCGTACATGTATACCTGTAGCCAAGGCTTTCCAGCGGCGGTAATGAAAATTAAAAACACATATCAGTGCGTACAACGAAAAATTCTTACAACTCCTTTCGTTAAAAAATGCTTTCAGAACAAATCTAACACTATAAGAGTGACATGTATGTAAATTTAAAGACCCTTTCCGAAAAATTTTCCAGATTTTTCGCTCTCCGAGAAGCGACAGAGCGCCGGCTAACTGATTTGAGTAGTTATCCCAAGGGATGTTCAGATCTTGATGTTATCACCTGAGGTGAATTGGTTCTCGAAGTTTCTATGTGCAAAATTTCCTTTATTCCTCCCTTCTCCCAAATAAATCTGCAAGTTAGCGAACCCGATCCGGTGGATTTGTTTAATTGTTTGGACGGAATCAAACTGGGGTTCTTCGCTTGTTTTGTTTCGTCTTTCCTTATTTGAGTTGTTGTTATTTATAATAAGTCGTGCGTGTCTGTGTGGGTTCTAGCTTCGTTCTTTAACATCAATTTTTCTTTTTATCGATCCTACGGTTGAATCGCGTCACTGAAGCAATTATTTGATCAGGTGGTGGAAAAAAAAAGGTAAAAAATCAGATGAAAGTATCGGTGGCAGCGGAAAGAGAAAAATATCACAGAACTCTTTCTAACATTGACTAAACATTTAGTAGTATGTAAAATCGTTCTTTCACGGTTTTTTGAATCACTGTAATTTTACGGAAACTAACTATATTTGCCTCTATTCTGTTTTTTGTTTTGGTTTCCTTTGTTTTTTCCACTATGGAAATATTCTATTGTTCTTTCAATATCGATATATTATCGATTGGCACCTGATTATCGGAAGATGTGTCACGTGCCACAATGTTATGCGCAGTACGTGTTGAATCTGACGTTGGCCGAAAAGGTCTGTGAAAGTTCCACTGGGGATACTTCCTCCCTAACCTATCCTTTGCTTTTCCTTCGGAAATCATATAAGAAACGTTGTAGAAGGGAACACAAAAAGCCTTGTACATGGTGGACGCGAAATTTTTTATGGCAACGGAGAGAAACGGGCACAACGGGCAAATATTCGAGGCCCTTAGAAGTCGCTTTCCCGAGATTCCGGAACAAGTTATTTCCAACACACTGCAGGCTGAGGTAGGGAGATTTCTATGCGGTATTTGGACAATTTTTGGGTTACTTTTATCAGGGATTGTACGGAGACAAAATGAGTGTGTCATTCAAATGCTTTTGTCTTTGAACTTTTATTCTGAAGACGTTCTTCTTCCGTTCCTTCCGTCGGTTAGACGCGGAGGTGTTGTCTTGTAAACATCGCGTGTTCGCCCATCAATGTAAATGTGCTTGAGCAGTATATTTTCGAGTTTGTTCTTTCTTTTGTCGAGTAAGGCTTCCTCTAAGCTCAGTTATTACGATTATTCTAAATTTGCCGTGTCGAATTGTATAATATTGATCGAATTTACTGCGTACGGCTTGTAAACAAAGTTGAAATTGGTTCATTCGCTTGTATCAGAAATTTCTTTGGGTCAATAGAATGGTGTAACTAGAAAGAAAAGCATTCCATGAAATACGGATCTTACCTGCATGTAGCGTTCGGTATTTCAGTCCTTAAAATCGCACAATAAAACTTAAGGGAATTAATTGTAACTCGCCAAAATCAGTAGTTGGGTGCAGTGCTTCTCTAAATTGACCAAGTTCCTGATTATCTAAGAAATGATATCGAAAGGAAAAGGACTTACCATACGAAAAATCCTTACATTAACCTTGCCTAGTTCCATCAAAATCCTTTCCTGGTTTTCTGCAGTAAATCTGCCAGCGGAAGAAGGCGGATAGGTTGTAGGGATCATGTGTTTAAACGCTCATTACTACCCTCGTATAGGTCACTTCTATAAATTTTTTAGAATCGTCATCGCCTTTGCAACTTCCACAACTCGGATGATAGTCATAAATCATGTGCTTGTTGGAAATATCATTGTGTATTCACAAACACTTCCTTTTTTAGAATTTTATTTAGATTCTCAATTTTGTGTCATAAAAATAATCTAACTCTATATCTTCTCCCCCACTAGTAATTTGTACATAGCAAAACCCATGATGCCTGTATGACGATACCTCTTATGGGAATCAATTATGATGAATTTTTCTGTGCTTGCCTTTAATAGTTTCCCCTTTAATGAATACTTCCTCAGTTTAAGTTGTGTAAATTACAGTAAACAGTGGTATTCTCCTTCTGGCTAAAATAATCTAAGTATATGTCTGGCTAAATAATTACATCAACTCTAACTGTATACAAGTAAGTATTAGGAATTTTCTTTTTAAGAGTGATGTGCTTCTTTTATAAGCAGGGAGAAATTATTTCTTTTTTTTTTTTACATAAGGAATACTTCACCACACAAAATTAATGTTACTGTTTCATTATAGAAAAGTTTCAGACATGAAATGTTTTATGATGTCTTCAAAATGCTTGTTGGATTAGAAATACACAAATATAACCTATAAGCATTAAAAATTTGGTTTTCTTTTGGGTCAGAACATTTATGTGTGATGAGGATGGTACCAACTTTGTGATTATCAGTTCTGATGCTTATTTATAAAGCATTTTATATGATTGTGTGTAAAAATTTGCAATTTGCATATTTTCAAATGTTAAGTATGCTGAGAGCTTTGATTCTTTAACTTTTGTCATAATTAGCTAAAAGAGACATTTAACAATTCTGGCCAAAACCATAATGCTTCAGAAATTTTAAGTATTTATTCTAATTTTTGCCTTCTTATTTTTCAGCATGGCAATCCGGAGCGTTGCTTGAGTATTCTAGCAGCAGAAAGTGATAGATTATTGTATGGTGGTAATGTTGAGGTAATAGACAGCCCAATGCCTGTTCAGCCGTCTTCACAAAGTACACCTATTGATGAACCTATATCAATTGCAATTCCCCAATCAACCAACCCACCACACCTCCCAAACAGAACAGAACCTCCAGCTTTACAGCCCATGACAAGACCTATGACAGTAGCACAGCCCAGTTCTGCTGCGGCTTATGTTTCGTCTTGCACTGGAGAGAGACAAATACCATCTACGGTTGCAAGTTATGATCAAAGTAAGTGCAGAGTTTTAACTTGCAGTGGAGAGGAAATGGTTGTTTGGGTTGTCTTATCACCAACTTCTGATAGAAACTTTTGATCAAGTTGTTGATAAGTCAGTCAATACCACTGATAGCAGTCCTTTTCAGGGTTCCTCTCACCTACATAGCAGGCTTCATGATCAGGCATTACTCTTGGCATAAACCATTTCACTTGTATTTAGAGGAAAGGAAAAGTTATCTTTAATCTTTCAATTCCCAAGTTCTAATTGTTAATTCTTTCCAATTCTGTTCAATTTGGAAATTTGCTGCACAACAGAAATTGAAGGAATTTTTTGAGAAAACATTACATTCCCTTGTGTCTCGTTGGAGTGTGATAATTAGATTAAACACGCCATTACAGCAAACAAACAAGCAAACTCACACAACTTCCAAAATAAAAAAATTGAATTTGCTCACAATTACTTTCCTCGCCGTTTACTTAATGAACAGAGGTAAATCTTCGTACATGAATGAATGGTCGATGAGAGTGAATAATACTTTCCGTTAGATCATTAACTGATTTTGAAGAAAACATTGTCGTGACAGTCCTTGCCAAACTAGTTCTGTTTGTTTTCAAATGTTCCTACGCTTTTTTTTTCTTGCGCGCTCTCTAATTGACAGGTGTCAGATTGTGACAGATACTTGTAAAAATAATGTTTCAAAGTTTGTTTGGAAGCCTTTTAAATCACCTTTATCGTTACGGAAATGAAAATGTTTCGCTGAGGCATCTCTCTTAAATTTGCATCACCTGTATTTTAACTACCATTTACTCACTCAAAAATTGTTCAGTCTATGGAAGATCTTGCCGTATTTACGGCCATAAATCATTCGGGTTCTTTCGGAAAGAATTTTGTCAAGTTTAAAAACAATAATTAATTACAATGATTTGCCCTCGGCCTATGGCCTCGGGCAGCATTTTCAAGATAATAACAACTATCTATCTGATTAGTTTGGATATTTTCATAGCCAGTGTGTGCTGGATAATGTGTAGACATCATAGCAAGAAGTTAAATGTTAATCACTTTTGAGAGTAAAAGAGTTAAGTTTACTTATGTTAGTTAAATGATCAAAGTACATTTACTTGCCTGATGTTAAGGCTTTGTTTGGTTTAAGGTTGCATTGGTGTTAGTATGATTACCATACCAGGTGATCAAAATACTAATAACACTCATTTCCATAGTTGCCTCATGAGGGGTATTGTCACGAGCCAAAAAATTTTGTCCAACCATACTAATCAATTTTCTCCGAGTAAAATCAATTGTGCTTGTTCAGAATCATGCTTTGATCCATGCTGATCATACATGACTCACAACCTCCTTTAAGCAATGGCCAAACTCAGAGTTTTGCCAGCTTTCTACATCTACTCTATGTACATGTGTCATGTTGCTTTTGACTAAAGCACCTGTACTTTACAGGATGTAGCAATGCTCATTAGATGTATTTACTAGTTACACTGTATGGCCTATATTAATGCAATCTACTCTGTATCTTAGTGGCAGTGCATTGTATTGAAAAATTAAATGGTCTGTGGATCCAATCCTAGTGGGAGACTTTTCCCTAAGCTTGCTATATTTAATCACAATGGTTTAATGACCAATGCAGATTTGATTAAAGTTGAGGGGTTTGGCATAGGCATGGTGCTTCCATGTGAAGGGATATCAATTGGCACATTTTATCCATATCACCGTGTTTTAGGGAGTGGTCAACAATGGAGTCCAAAATCTACCACACTTCATTTCAATATGACTGTACCTTCAATTTCTCAATCAGTGTATGGCAGTAATAGAGAGCAAAAGGCATTATTAGTTTTGCAGGAAAGGTTATCAAAGAACATACATGGGAGATAACTAGAGTATATTCCAGAATATTACAATCTAATTGGCTGTGCCTCAACTTTAAACACTTATTTCATATTTTCCATAATAATTTCTTTGCCATTGGAAATTACATTTATAACATGTACAATGTTGTTAAAAGTTGTGTTCATCCATTGATTATAAAATAATTATTGCATCCTCATTTCTGCAGCATTACTTTGCCATCAACAGCGAAGGTTAGAAACATTGAATAAGGTATGTGTTTTGGTTCCTTGTCATTATTGGTTGATTAAAAATGGTAATTGAACTGTGTGAAGTGCAATTTTTATAGGTAATAACGTGATTTTGAGTGGAATTTGGTGATAATTAGCACTAGTGATTTTTTTCAAAGACAACCAAACTGCACAGACCTTGGGGCAAGTGCAATTTGTAGTCTTTGAAAATTTACAAGTGCTTATTGGCACCAAATTGCACTCAAAATCATGTAATTACTTATTTAATAATATGCATGGAAAAATTACTCAGTTCTGATTGGTTAAGATGAATACAGTTTTCAGGTAATTTAGTGCAGAAGAGGTTTAATTCAGTGCAAAGAAAGTAACAAATCAGACATTCTGATTGGTCAATAATCAAAGAAACTCACAGATAGCCAATCAAATGTGAGCCTTGGATGTCACAACAAAATTTGAAAATTTGAGAGCTAAACAATGGCCGGTGTTTTAAGTAGATTTTCTTTCACCACTGCAGCTGAAAAACAGCTCAAACAATGAAAACACTGTAAAAAGCACTTTTTTTTTGGTTCTTGGTTTGAAAAAAGTGGTGTTTAGAGAAGGGAATTGCCTAGGAAATTGAAAACTACGAGCCGACCCAGCTTAACACTTTGCTCGAATTATCCAGTGCTGAAATTAAAAACAAACATGGTTAAACTTTGGAAACAACAATTCCATTTCATTGAAAGTGATTCGGACACAGACTGAACAATTCCTTGAACTGTTTAGCCAGACTTTGAACTTTTTTGTGCCTTGAAGATGTGAAGATATCATTGCATATTGTTTTGATCATATGTGGTTGTTTTGGCTGAACGCACGGTTTGAATAAATTATTTTTGCATTTGATGCGCATGCTTGTTTATGCTTAATTATGATAAGCCATCTTGTATTTTTTCATGTAAATTATTAACACGTAATCACATGATTTTTCTTGTGCAATTTGGAATAAACAAGCACTTGCTAATTTTTTCAAAGACCACAAATTGCCCTCCCTATGGGCTTGTGCAATTTTGTTAGTCTTAAAAAATTTACTTGTGCTTATTTATTCCAAATTGCACTGGAAATCATTTGATTACCTATACAAAAAAGCATCCCAGAAAGTCAAGACAGACAAAATTTTGACAGTGGGCATGCTATTTGCAATTTGCATTCGTGTTACATGAAAAATGCACTTGTTTTCAGCCAATCAGAAGCCTATAATTGTTTCATGTATGTTATTAAGTATGCAATCATATGAGTGATTTGAAATCATAATTGCTGTATGACTTTATACCAAAGTTTTATGACATGAAGTTCAAGTACCACTTGATTAAATCTATTTTAAAATTGCAAACTTCAGTCACTCAAATGCAAGGGGTATTTTAGTATGTTAAAATATCATAGTTAGCCAGTAATGTGCTGGTTTTTATAAAGTTGCAAAACTTGACTTATATTTTCAACAAGCCTCAAAATCTGATTGGTGCTTGTGTTTTAGTAAAGCTGTTTCTTTGGCTCAGAAAAATATGTGATTTAGTACATGAAATGGTGTGATTCTTGAATAAATTGCACCAATGAGAGCCAATCAGATTGCAATGAATCACCAGTGATTTTGAAATGGATGTGTTAAAAAATATTATAATTACTTTGTACTTTATCGATTTATAGTACTTACCATTTTGAATGCAAAATGACCATACTGTTACACTCACTTATTCAAAAAATCATAAATGAGCTTACTTTGCATAAATGGGACATGCACAGACACAAATTAAACAGGTTTTTGTTTTGTTTTGTTTTTTTTTTTTCAGTACAACTGAACCATCCATTCAAATATTGCATGATATTTGCACTCAATTCCTGTTTTATTTGTGCTCTACTCAGTACATTTGGATAATAAAGGTTGTGAATAGTTGACTTTTGTATCTCACCCAATATGGTCTCTCTTATTGAAGGAAATGTACAATGAGCATCGCAAATTGATAAGATTGAAAGATAGCTTGCAAGAAAAAGAAATGGAAATGGTCAACAATAAATTTCGTGTCGCTGCCAATCCCACTGTAAGTAGTTCAAGTGTACAATTTTTTTAATTCAGTTTATTCATACTGTAGTTTCTTAAGTTGCAATGTTGTTCTATATTGGAGCTTCATTGCTTGTCCTTTGTATCATGGTATTTGAGATTATTTCATTCTATGAGAAGTTATGTTTAATTTCATGTGCACTTAATGACATAATTACATACTAAGGTTAAACATACCTGTAAATTTTGATATTAAATGAACACTTTGCATCAATTTAGCCTACAGATGTAAAACACTTGCGTGATGAAAATCGGGTGCTGAGAGAAGAAATCGAACAAATGACTCGTGAAATTGATGGACTTAGCAATGGTCGAGATGGTAAGGAAATATTTGACTGTGACATCAATTAATAATTGCAACAAAGTCTCTCAAAGAGTGGATATTTTCCCAGAACAAGTTTTTTCAGACTGTTTATTATCATACATATATGACCTATCTAGCACCACACTCATGCAATCTCATAGAATGCCATCTTGCATTCACATGGTTTTGTTGCAAAAACTTAAATGAAAACACCAATAAGATAAAAACTTACATTTTTTGATGAACTGCCAGTTTCTTGTTGAGACTCGAAAAAAAAAGGTATGGATAAATTTTTATTGCAGAATGTTTCTAATGGCTGTCCCATCCCAATTAAGATTGAAACAAATTTTTTTGAAATTTTAGCACTTGTGGTCATATGGTAAAATACTTATTTACTGAATTTTGTTAGGCTGAAAGGGAAAATATTGAGCACAGAGCTGGTTGCACACAAATCATATGTGCATGAATTTAAAATCTAAGGAGCCTGTTGTGCCATTTCAATTTGAAGTCATAAGGATGACATACATGACACTAAGTTTGATCAGTACTTGATTACACATACCTTAAACTCCCACAAATAGATCACCAAAGTACAGGATTGTCATCAGGAAAAAAAAAAAACAGAAAAGATAGTCAATTTGAGAAACAGCACTCATAAAATCTTAAATCTTACTTTGGATTATTTGTTTTTTGTGAGTTTTCTATCATCCCTAGCAATGAAAAAGGTACAATTTATTGCTAAAACTAGTGCTAATTATAGTTATGTTTCCCAGCTGAGCGTTTGTGCTTTTACAACAATCACCATTGATTTCAAAGTGGATTTATTTATTAAGTACTTTGATTGTTTTGCAGTTTTAATAGGAAATACAAGTAATAATCCAGTAGTAACACAACCACCACCACCTTATCAACCTCCACCAGGTATGTCAAGTCTGACATTAGCAACAAAATTTGCACCAACTTGTTCCTTTTTTTTTAATGTAATAATTGTTGATGATTATTGAATATTTTGGTGAGAAGCAAAGTACACCAAAATCATTAATATATTTATGTAGAAAGATTGTTAGTACCTGTACAATATGTGAACCACCATTCAAGTACACATGTTGTTTTGTAGTTCAAGGCTAATGTAGGTTGAAATGATTTGAAACCTTTTTATATGTATTTTCCTTTGTATGGGGTAATCTGTTGTAAATGGTAAAATATTAATATTCACTGAAAGATACAAAATTAATCAACCTACCAGTTGTTTTTAAGGGATTTCACTAGATTTCTTCCTTCGGTGTAAAATTAAGCTTTTTATCTCTTTTTTGCAGTGAGAAGAGTTGAAAGTTTTCCCTCAAGCCGACCTCACAGTGGAACAAATGGTAAGTATCATGTCACTTAGAGGCTAAAATTCCAATTCACACTGTCATCATGTATAATGCCTCATTCACAATAGAAATTATTTTATCTTGGTAAGAGATATTTTATGGTTGATGATTATTTTGTTTATGTATCATGTTAGTAGAGGAAACATGTCAATGAACCCTTCAACCCATTATGGTGACTAGTATCTAATTTCTCCTTACAATATCACCCCTGAATCACACATTAAGGTCATGAGAATAAAGGAAATGATCAGCAATGTTAGAAGCTCTAGACTGTTAAAATAAATTCTCCTTGTCAGCACTGTAGGAAATGTATTGAGAACAGTATGGAGAATATGTCTACTGATGTTAGCGGGTAATGGGTTAAAAAATTATTCAAGTGAGAACCTCAAACCGTTTACAATTATCTTTGGCAAGTGTCCTTCTCAATTCATCTGCAGTGGAAAGCTTCATCTTAAAACCTTTCAGTTTTCACTCCCAAAGATCTCAACTAGAATTAAATTATTACAGTGGTTGAAATCATGTGCATGTACAGGGGTTTCAATCAAAGTAGATGGGTTGGGAGTACATCCACCCACCTGTAAAACACAGGCTAGCAACTTAAGGCCTGTCCATGAATGTCTTTGCACTACAAACACACATGTAACTCTCTTTGCACATAAGAACAACAAAGCAACCTAGACCAAAAATACATGAAAATGCAACTGTAAGAGCCTAAACTTTGAAAATTCAGGAGCCAAGACCTTTACAGAAAGAGCAGGCCTATAAAGCTACCTTAACCTATCCTAAACTACCAGTTTGTTCCTGACTTTATTGAAACCACTGACCCATGCCTGTTCCCAGACACTGAGGCATAAAAATTACATTAAATTTAGAAAGTAGAAAATATTAAAGAAAGTTAGATGTGTTACTACACTGTGTAATCTGACCATGATCATAGTACAGAGTAAGATGATGATTGATGCCTTTAAATGAAGCTTCAGGAAATACATCGCAGTGTGGCTGTAGGATTTTCCTAACCCTTTGACCCCTAAGAGTGACCAGCATCTAATTTCTCCTTACAATATCACACCTGAATCAAATAGGGTCATAAGAAAAATGAAATGATCATTAACTAGATAAGCTCTTGCTTGTTATACAAATTCTTGTGGTTAGCACCTTAAGAAATGTACCTAGGAAAGTTTATAGAATATGCCTTGAGATGTTAGGAAGTTAAGGGTAAAGGGAAACAAAATACATTAGAATTAAATATTTTGTAGTAACAAAAAATGCATCTTTATCAAATTCTGCTTAGAGTGACTGTGACTTGTAATTCTAATACATTAATGGCACTGCCAGGAGAGTCTAATGTAAGATCACCTTGGATTGCCTCTTATCAACAAGTGATCTTTTATTCATAGGTTATGGCCCTTCACTGACTCGATTCTGTTCAATGTTTGGAAGAATACCCACTCATGGTATTACATTTAATTATTAATAACTTTTAATTGTGTTAACTTGGCTGATTGAAGTACAATTCAAGCTGTGACAATTTAAGGGCTAATGCTTGAAATGTCAGCTTTGAAACTCTTTACAGTGGCCCATATACCTTATCAACTCATTTGATAATACTAAATTACCCTGTTACATTCTCCCACCAATGCAGCACCAAAGTTTCTCAAGAAACTTACTCCTTTTTTCATTTGTGATAATCGAAGAAATATTTTAAAAATTAAACAAGTGCCCAACATTAGGCTGATTTGAAATTACAAGTAGAATGACCTTTGAATTGTACGACTTAAGGTATATTTATTATAATCATATTACTAACAAATTACAAGGTTAATATAGTCTGTGGTATTCAACTGTTTAAAAAACAGTTAGCAATAGTTGGATAGCAAATTGTTGTATTAAGTGGACTAGAAATGGTTTTGTTATCTTGAATTACCATTTTGTGAGTGGACTGATCTTATCAATTTTGGGTTTTTTACCTTTTCATCGACACTGATATTTTTCTCAGCAACTGTTTATAAATGTATTGATAGCAACATGACAGTCTCTTAGACACACCCCTACTAAAGCTTCATGAGCCTATCACTCAAAAAGGAGTTTAAGTACTCAGTGCTTTTTTCATACTGGATTGAAAGAAGCATATCAAGATCAAGCTTTTTGCCAATTCTTTTTCACCAAAACAAAATAAAAAATAAATAAATAAAACCTGGGATGTAGCTTCAGAGCTACTGTGCTGTTTTGCTACAAAACAAGCTTTAACGACAAGGGAAGTGAAAATTAGGGTGGTGATTGTAATAAGACTGAACAAGTTTTATGTTTTAAACACACCGTAAAATTTCCTGAGTTTTTTTACTAGAGTGGGTTTACTATGAAATTTACATACACTGTGAGTGCCTTTTTTTATTAATCACAGAAAGTTGTATAATACACTGGTTATCAATAAAAGTACACTGATTTTTAAATCTGCACAGGAGTAGGGGGGGTTGTAACAGGTGTATTATGATAACAAGCTATTCTTATTCAACCTTCAATTTCTCTTAACCCTTTAACTCCCATGAGTGACCAAGACAGAATTTCTCTTTACAATATCAATACAATATCAACCAGACAAGTGATGAGAATAAAGAAAAATATCAATTTGGGGATAATTAGTGGATCCAATACTAGATTCTCTGGACTAACATAAGAATTGTATGGTTGACAGTAAGGAGAATTACAAATGTGATCTGGGAGCTAAAGGGTTAATTTCTTCTTTGCATGAGAGTGGAGAGAAGGGGGAGAGGATGGGGAGATGTGAGTAAGAGAAAGGGGGTGGGTCAATTCCAGTGTTACACTGAATCATCATAAAGGGAAAGTAACATTGCATTGTATGTACAACAGCCAATTGACAACAAGTTAAGGTTAATGTTGGGTTAGGGGAGGGGTCAGTGGGCAGTTGCCCAGATACTGATATTGATCCTACAATTCCTTAGACGGACCATACTTTGTTAAGCTTTAATTCGATTTTGTTCGATTTCATTCAGAGGAAGAGAGTCCTACCAGTCTGAGCCCTCCACCTCCTCCTCTGGACGGAAGCTTAACCAACGAATGGGTGTTTCTTCCAAACTATCAGAATGTAATGCACGAACGACCAGGTAATACATAAGTTAAAGGGCAGTAAGCTGCCATTAACGTCTAATACAACTGTATATTATTTTGTGGCTTTTGATTCTAGAAGAACTGGTGCTACAGGCTACTGTGTTGTAGAGGCAGATAAACGTTTTGTTTAAAGTAACACAAAAGGCTGGAAGTTTTAGAGAAGATACACAATATACCATACATGTACATCTGGGATGATTTTAAGTCTACTATCTTCTACTCTTCAATTGACATTTTCTTTTTTTTTCTTCTTTTTTTCCATTACCTGTCTTCTGTCTTCTTAAAGATGGTTTGAAAATTTAAGGTCAAAAATGAGAATTTAAGGTCAAATTCGTTGGTTGTCAGTCTTTGCAGTAAATTAGTTAAACGATCTGTTGATATTTTTTAAGAGAGAGGAGCAAAGCAAAAAAATTAATTGATCCCCCAAAGAGAGTTTGAACCTCTGGGGCTTTGTATGGTGTTGATGTCTAACTGGGATACAGAGAGCCTGTTGGTTTGCTAACACACATACTTTTTTTACTGCCTCTTTGCTGCCTCTTTATTGAGTTTGTTCCCCAAGAGACTCCTCAATAGAGTAAGAGTGTTCATCCTTGCGTTTTGCTGCTTCTTCTTTGTGTATTATAGTCAATAGAGGTGTAAGGTGTCATGGGGAATGAAATTGGTTGAAAATTTAGGACATTTTGATTTTACTTTGGAGCATGTTAATTTTTCAAAACTGTACCTCGTGATCTTGATTTTATTTGTGATGCACTTTCTTTTGCTCTCTTTTGTGTTTCAGAAGAACGCACCTGGACATGCTCAGTTTGCACATTTGCAAATCACGAAGCCTTGGAAGTGTGCGAAATGTGTGAGATGCCAAGAAACCGTGTCTTAGAGGCTCGAGCGTGACACGGGCGTGACATTTTGGCCAGAAAACTTTGGCGGGATCAGAGTTTGACGCAGCATCTTGATAAATTAATGACAACATATGAACAGGAGTATGAAGTCTTTTCATAAGTTATTGTCAACGTTTGAAGTATTTGAAAATCGAAATGGCGTCGACGTACAGGTTATTGTTACAAAAGACAACTTTCTTTACATCTGGTAGCCCTTGGTTTGTAACTACAATGAAACTAAGAAAGTATCCAAAATATGTGATTTATTTTTCACGTGCGCAATGATGTGTTGCTTTTTCACCACTGAGGTGACAGAGAATTGTTTAAGTAAAACTATTGAAACTTTGAGCGATTTTTTTTCTGTTGGTTTTTCTTCCAAGAAATGGGGTGCAGATTAGATTTCCCGAAGCCCACGATTCGATTGCAACACCCATTAGTACACGAGTCTACATTGCTCTTTGTTTTCACACTAGGTCTCAAATATTCTCTCACCAGGCTCAGTTATCCTCCAACACAGTTCATGTCTTTATGAGTGGACTTTTTAACCCTTTAACTCCCAAGATCTGATTGTTAATTCTCCTCTCTAGTTGCTACGCGTTTCCTTGTAAAATAGTTACAAGATTTTGGTGTTAGATCTAGATAAAAGCTTCTACCTGATGAGTTCAAGTATTCTTATTACCTGCTTGCTGGATAAACTATGGATAGAGAGAAGTTACAAGTTCATCACTTCTGGGAGTCGAAGGGTTAAGCGCCGCTTTTAGTTAAAAATGTCCCTTTAATAAAGGGACAACCCACAGAGGGTTCATTTTTTAGAGCTAAAGGTGATGCAGCTGGAAGTTATCGAGGGCGATGTGATTCATGAAACCAGAGGTGCGGCTATGACATGTTACCAATTTGTGAAAACTGCTACAGTACTTAATCGGAAAAAAGGTAACAGATCGAGGCACAGCACAAGGTAAATCGGTCATTGAATGCTGTAATAGAGGTAATGATTGCGAAACTCGGGAAAGAGCTACCAGAACGAGTTATAGCTCTTAGTAAATCGGTCATTGAGTGCTGTGATAAAGGTAGCGATTGTGCAACTAAAATCAAAGCTACCACTTAAAAAAGCATTCACATGCGAAAAAACGTGGAAAACACTTTTACTTTTATTTTCCCCTATCTTTTTAATGTGTTCTTCTCTTATCCAAAACGTTACCTTCTTGTGAGTAGAAATCAGCTCTGGAGAAGCCAATTTTCGAAGCGCAACGTCTGTCTTTACCGCTTTTGAAGAAAGGAGAGGTTTTGATCATTCCAGAGTACAGTTCGACGATATTGTGTTTTCTTCGGCGATCAAGTATTCAAATTCCGGATCAAAAAGGTTTAGAAACATGGTCTACAAATACAGAAATGTTGGACAGCTTGTCGCCCTCGAAAGTAAATTAATCCGAGCGCCTCGTATGCGCAAGATTTGATTAAACCGTGGATAGGACCTTGTACACGCAGACTTGATTTCAATCAATTTTCATTCATCCCTAAGTTTTCTGGTCTCGTATTTTATCTGTCGGTTAAATACACCTTATTTGTCTGCGGACTGATAAAATTTTGAGCGATTCTTTGTAACCAGTTGGGCCTTTTGCAGGAACTGATCATGCGAAAGCCTTGTACGTAGGCAGACTTACCAAAAAGTTAGCAGGAGTGGAAGAAGGAGTTATGGATGCAAGGAGTGAATTTTGGGTCATTTTCCCAACAACGTTTGCATATGTAAGGCCGCTACGTATGATGGGAATGTCCACGGACTGAATCAAACGCACAAGGGGTCTATGTTGCGTTGGGCACCGTAGACTCAAAAACAACTTCGCATAATGCGATTAAGTAGAAAGGTAGGGATACTAAATGCGACAGGTGTGTGCCACCAAACCCAAAGTTTGGAAGTGTGCTGTCTCAGAGCGAGTCACTGCGAGCTACATTTTCGCTGCGATAATTGCATTCATTCCAGTCGTAAGAAGAGACATCCTCTTAACAATTCTAATCGTGTCAAACGAGGCGAATTTTCCTGGTAAATTTTCGTTCGATTTATCTTAGAAACGCGTTAAGAAGACGCCTTTCATACGCCTCACAAACTTTCACCCTCCTGCCAAGTATGATCTTTCCTTTTATCCAACGTCTGATGTTTGGTATGACAAACCTCTAAAACTGATTCATTCATTCGGTCCGGGTACAGCCGGAACCTTCACCACTACTCTTATTTTATCTTCTCCACATCGACTACCTCTCGACAGCAGCAGTGGCTACAAAGTCGCGCCAGCTTTTCATTTTTTCAGATAGAAAAATAAGTTGTTTTGAGAAATTTTTTACAGCGCTTGAAGAGGGGCTGGGTTTGAAACGAATTGCCCATAAGAAGGCACTCCACGGCACTCACAAAAATTATGAAAGAAATGTGATTGTCGAAGGAGCTTGCTATTGGACTCTTTCCACTGTGCGAAACATTTTAGTGTTATTTTGATCCCTCCGAGAAATTTCTACTTTTATTTAATTCAATTTGTCATGCTTAATCTCTTAGAATGATCCGTGCGGTTGAAGAGCAACGAAAAGGCCTTTGGCTCTATGTCGCGTGATCTCGTTCCACGGTTTTGTTGAACTGACATTAGTGGAAAACGCACAATGCTGACTCAACCTCATACGAATCCCCGTCAGAATTTTTCAATGGTTTGATAGAAGTAACTAAGAGAGAGGAAGAGGTTTTAGTTAACAATGCAAATAAAATACATCGATCGTAACCTCCACTCCCCTCTCCCCCGAAAGAAGTCACGATTATTTAGAAAAGTCACGCTATCTTATCAGGTTACGGTGCAAGGCGCATGCGCGCCAATTCGGAGAATCACTGAGTCAATGAATTCTGAGAATTGTCAGTTTACATTTCTTAGCAAAGACATGCAAGTTCATTATACGCCTGGAGAAATAATTTGTAATTCAATTCAGCAGCTTTGAAATGAATTGCTTCTTTGAAGTCTAGACATAGGCCTCATTTATCTTCACATTTTTCACCGTAAACAACAGCTTTCCAGGTAAGAATGAATGAACTTGTAGTGTAGTTGTTGATTTACGCAAAAGATCCGTCTGATTATTTTGACTTTGGTCAAGGTTAACTGTCGGAATGCGTGTTGCGAAGCACTGATTATTCAAGTTTATAGAAAGCGAAAGTAATACGATCTTGCTATTCGAAAGTTCATTGCCCAGTGAGATCATGAATAAATAGAACAGAGAGTCAGTCTTGCACTTATACTACAATTGTTGCATTTCAGCGTTTCAGTTATCACTGAAAGATCGACAGAGTGCACAAGTTAAGCTTGCGAAATGCTGAATACTTTTCTGGGAAATTAACATGTGTATCACAAACATGTATTGATAATCTCGTCAGTTTTGATCGATAACTTCGCAAAATTATTAGTTCACGGCTGGGAAGGACAAAATGCAAGAATAAAGCGACATTCTAGCGACTGGATCGATAGGAACATTTAAAATATGAATGTCCTTGTGTGCAATATAAAGTGATAGGCTCAGAAGTAGAAATTTTGCATAACAAAAGCTTTATTCGATTTTATGTTTAGAGATCGAGGCGTGACTAGACTAAACTTGCTTTACTTTTGTTTTAGCCAGTTAAGAGGGGGGTATTAGGATTTTCGGTTTTGCGGTTTTGGCTCTTTTCCAGATCGGTTTTTTGTGCCAAAAAAAACTCCGATTTTTCCGGCGGTTTTGGTGTTCATATGCGGATTTCCGTTTTTTAGCATTTGGTTTTCGATTTTCGTAAAAAACCACTAATGAGTTTTCGGATTTAGTATCCGATGTGGTTTTCGATTTTTCCTTTTGGGTTCCGGTTTCTTCTCGATCTGAGCGGCAATAATGCTCCTTCACTGATCTCAAAAGGTTTCGAAACTTCTGTACACTCCACTTGTCACTGACTGCATCAGTTCGATTAGGGTTTTGATAGCTGGGATGTGAAAATTTATCCTTTTTGACGGTTTTGCATGCAGTTTTCGGTTTTGATTGAATTTTTTGCGGTTTTGGATGTATTTTTTCTACGGTTTTGCGGTCTCTAATAGACCCCAATGTCCCCCTTAGTTAAAACATATGTGCCAAATTGTTGTTTCAATCGGTGACAAACCTCATTGTTGATCAAACTGGGTGCTGAAGAACTGCTAGAAATTCGCCCTTCGTAACTTTAAAAATCATAGCTTCTTAGGAAAGAGGAACAACAAGGCTAAAAATGAATGTAAGAATATTAGAGCAAAGATGACAGATGATGGTTTAAGATGGAGGAGATAAAAACGGACTCAAAACACTAAACTTGAACAATCTAGATCCATAAAATTTAACGTAGGTTCCTTTCACTAGTTCACTAAGAAGCATATTCTTCCCTCTACAGTAATATTTGACCCTTTTGAGAATGAGCACCGGAAAGGAACTGCCTCGACGAAATTGCCCATCTCCTAATTCGTGCGGTTGGAGTAAGAAAAGTATGCACCACTTTCACTGCCCACGGGAAGATTGTCAATTTTCTGCAATAAAGGTACGTATTGAAGAAGTTAAAAAGCTAAACTTGAACGTTTCTATGGCGGATGTTGCATTTTGAATGACACGTAAAATAACCTCTAAGCTCGATACTATAGCTAGTATTTTATAGTATCTGTGGAGAATTAGCTGATAAATCCAGCCAAATCCCTTTTTCTGCGAGATACATGTTCAAAATTTACGCAAGTCACCTTTATAACGGATCACTTAAGTTTTTGGTGGTTTTAGTTTCGGAATCCTAGTTGTTGAAACAAATGCGGTTTTTCTTTGTTTCAACCTTGTTGCTTCCGGTAACATTCAGTTAATCGTGCAAATTTCTAATCTCCCCAGGCCTCGAGTTGGTATTCGTTAGGTGTGTTCTCCATTTGCTCTATGATAGTACTATGTTATTACTAAGATATTAAGGGAATATTATGCGTCGAGGGGACAGAAATGACAACTGCGACATCGAACTAGACTGGGATATCCAACATCCAACATCGTGGAAACTCACTGACAATTTTTCCTTTCTCTTCATTTCACTTCAGTCTAAGACAGTTTACTCACACATTCAATCGAAACATGCAGAGATGAGTTCCATGCCTTCTACCTCAGAAGTCTCCCTTAAAGAACCAGACAGAGAGGTATAATGAACAATTACAGAAGTAGAGCTAACTTTGTGGCTTTAAGCGTGAATCATTATGAAACTTATAAGTTCATGCGATGTCCAAGGTACGACACGCAATTGTCGAAATCTGGGGAATTTAAACCAAGATAAGTACTTTGAAAATAGCCTGAAAAGAACGTTCAACCAATTG